GATGGCGAAGTTATTCCTCCGTTCATCTACCTAAAGGTCCTCAGACTCAACACGGTGGACTGCATCAAGTGACTTGAGGAGGTAATGCAGCCCTAGGTCAAGTGGGTGGCTGCTGGAAGACGCTATGTCTGGCAACAGGACTCTGCACCATGCCACACAAGTAGGAGATCCCAGTGATCGCTGTCAGACAATTTCTGTGACCAAATCATCCTTTACATCTGGCCACCTAGCTCCCCAGACTGCAACCCACTTGATTATTATGTGCAGACGCAATTGAGCCAGTGACCAACAAAACTCCTTGTAACACCAAAGATGAACTGAAGGCAAGGATTATGGCAGCATTCACCAACGTAAATAAGGAGACTGTCCAGAAGATTTGCAGGGGATTCCGATGTCGTCTGGAGGCCGTGGTTGGAGTCAATGACGATTTTATTGGATAAATTTACTCTTTAGTATTGCAAGATATTTTTGTGTAATTTTGGTAAATATATCTGTTAAAGTGAGATGTCAATATTATTTTCACTTTTGCGTAATTTAGACGACAATTTATCCTTCGCACCCTGTAAATGCTCACTTCATGGTTGAATATTTTTTGAATATCTTATATCTTCTTTTTATTTTTTACAATGATATTAACCTTGTACAACTCCCAAGACCCATTCAAGATAAAGGGATACAGAGGAAAAGGCACCATCTCATACAAGGAGATAATGTCACCTAGACACAAGGGGCTAGCGGAAGTGAAAAAATGGAAAAGGATTTAGAAGGAGCCGTTTGTTTGTTTGTTTGTTTGTTTGTTTTGTTTAACGGCATTCCAACCTTAGTGGTCACTTTATGCCGAAAATGATTTTGGTATAGCTTGCAACATTATTTCTTTCAAAAACGTATAGGGGGCAACATTATTTCTTTCAAAAACGTATAGGTGGCAACATTATTTTTTTTCCAAAAACGTATAGGTGGCAACATTATTTTTTTTTTCAAAAACGTATAGGTGGCAAAACATTATTTTTTTTTCCAAAACGTATAGGTGGCAACATTATTTTTTTCAAAACGTATAGGTGGCAACATTATTTTTTTTCAACATTTTTTTTTTCAAAAACGTATAGGTGGCAACATTATTTTTTTTCCAAAAACGTATAGGTGGCAACATTATTTTTTTTTCCAAAAACGTATAGGTGGCAACATTATTTTTTTTCCAAAAACGTATAGGTGGCAACATTATTTTTTTTCCAAAAACGTATAGGTGGCAACATTATTTTTTTTCCAACATTATTTTTTATTTTTTTAAAAAAAAACATCACCCTTTCACAGTGTTTTGACCCCAGTTACAATTCCATCAAATAAGATTTTGTTAAAAGACATATAGCTGGTAATATTTTTTCTTTTTTTAAACGTATAGCTGGTAATATAATTTTTTCAAAAACGTATATTGGTAATATAATTTTTCAAAAACGTATGGCTGGTAATATAATTTTTCAAAACGTATGGCTGGTAATATAATTTTTCAAAAACGTATGGCTGGTAATATAATTTTTTCAAAAACGTATGGCTGGTAATATAATTTTTTTCAAAACGTATGGCTGGTAATATAATTTTTCAAAAAACGTATGGCTGGTAATATAATTTTTTCAAAAACGTATGGCTGGTAATATAATTTTTTCAAAAACGTATGGCTGGTAATATAATTTTTTCAAAAACGTATGGCTGGTAATATAATTTTTTCAAAAACGTATGGCTGGTAATATAATTTTTTCAAAAATGTATGGCTGGTAATATAATTTTTTCAAAAAAACGTATGGCTGGTAAATAATTTTTTCAAAAACGTATGGCTGGTATAATAATTTTTTCAAAAACGTATGGCTGGTAATATAATTTTTCAAAAACGTATGGCTGGTAATATAATTTTTCAAAAAACGTATGGCTGGTAAATAATTTTTCAAAACGTATGGCTGGTAAATAATTTTTCAAAAACATTATTCTGGTAATATAATTTTTCAAAAACGTATGGCTGGTAATATAATTTTTTCAAAAAACGTATGGCTGGTAATATAATTTTTTTCAAAAACGTATGGCTGGTAATATAATTTTTCAAAAACGTATGGCTGGTAATATAATTTTTTTTCAAAAACGTATGGTTGGTAATATAATTTTTTCAAAAACGTATGGCTGGTAATATAATTTTTTCAAAAACGTATGGCTGGTAATATAATTTTTTCAAAAACGTATGGCTGGTAATATAATTTTTTCAAAAACGTATGGCTGGTAATATAATTTTTTCAAAAACGTATGGCAGTAATATAATTTTTTTCAAAAACGTATGGCTGGTAATATAATTTTTTCAAAACGTATGGCTGGTAATATAATTTTTCAAAACGTATGGCTGGTAATATAATTTTTTCAAAAAACGTATGGCTGGTAATATAATTTTTTCAAAAACGTATGGCTGGTAATATAATTTTTCAAATACACACTGTTGGCAATATTATTCCTTCGAAAAAGTATGGCTGGTAATACTACTTTTCAAAAACCGTAGAGCCGACAACCTCAATTTTTCAAAAACGGTCTTTCTGTTGGACGTAGTTTATTGCCATACCTCATATATGGATGTAGTTTATCGCAGATGCAGTTTACCGTCATACCCATGGACGCAGAAGAAACCGGAAACCCAATCCTAAACAAGGAACAAGGGATAAACCTTTATTCCCGTTCAGAAGACCGGGAACCAGACGATAAGCGAACTTGGCTACGCCTAGTAAGGAAATAAAAATCGAAATAAAAAAATAAATAGTAAATAAAATTTTAGTGTCTACGTGAAGACGTTAGATGTATAGTGTTGAAGTAAACTTTAGAATGCCCAATTCTAAACAGGAAACAAGGTGCAAACCTCTATTCCTTTTCAAAAACCAGGGAGGAGTGTGGACCGGGTTTTAAGCGAAGGTATTTACTCCTAGTGAGGAAAAAAAATAGTAAATAAAATTTCAGCGTTTAGGCGAAGACGTTAGAAGTATAGAGCCAAAGTAGACTTTAGAAGGGACCGGAAACTCAATCCTAAACAGGAGACACTGAATAAACATCTACTTCTGTTCAAAGACCGGAAAGGAGTGTGAACCGGGCGGTAAGCAAACTTACCTATTGCTATTGAGAAAAGTAATTCAATAGTAAATAAAAGGTCAGAGTTTTAGTCGAAGACGATAGAAGTATAGCATTGAAATAGACTTTAGAAGGAACCGGATAGCCAGTCCTAAACAGGAAACCATGGATACACATCTACTCCTGCTCAAGAGACCGGAGAGGTATGTGAAGCGAACGATAGGCGAACCTATCTACTCACATTGAGGAAAAAAATAAATAGTAAATAAAATTTCAGCGATTATGTGGAGACGTTAGAAGTATAATGTTGAAGTAGATTTTAGAAGGAAACAGAAAACAGAAAACCTCCTAATCATGCTCAAAAGACCGGAGAGGTATGTAAACCGAACGATAGGCGAACCTATCTAATTATATTGAAGAAAAAATAAGAACAGTAAATAAAATGTCGCAGTTCAGATAGAAAAGTTAGTACTAAAGAGTTGAAGTAGACTTTAGATGGAACCGGAAATACAATCCTAAACAGGAAATAAGTGTGAAACCTCTATAAAACCGGATGGCATGTGAACAGGGCGATAGGCGAATCTATCTACTTTCACCCTAAAGAGATTCTTTCACTTTGTGACGAAAAATGATTTTGCTTGAAACACTGGTACGATCACCAAAGTTAAGCAACGTCTAGCCTGGTCAGTACCTAGATGGGTGACTGCATGGGACTACCAGATGCTATAAGCTTGAGTGTACGGGTGGTGTAATGAATAACAGCTTAGAATTGGAAATCGGAGGGCCGAGTTCCAGTTCCAGTCGGGTTCTTTATAGTTATTTACGCGCAATTATCCTTGGGAAATAGATCAAGAATGGAGTACTGTTGTCATATTTGGGCGGGTGCTACACGGACCAAACTTTCCGGGCTCGATAGGGTCCAAAAATATCCCCGAGTCCTTGTGGGTGACGAATTATTTTCCACCCACCAACTTCTCTCTCACAGGAGGAATGTAACAAGCCTCTCGCTGCTCTATCGCTCTACATTCCTTGGTTCCACAAGGCCTAACATTCACAGCATGGGCCCACATACACTGTAGCAACCCACCCACGCTACCTCGGTATTCCATTGGTGAGTAGTAAGTTCCATTCGACCAGCTTCTTCCAGCAAACCACTGCTCTGTGAAACAGTTTCCCAAGAGGATGTTTCCCCGATCAGTATAATCTTAACTTGTTCAAGTCAAGGGTTAACCGTTAACGTCCTCTCCTATCCGGACAGACCGCCCTTCTCCTTCGAGTGGTCCCCGGATCTTGTAAAGGGTGAACCTTACTGAAAAAAAAAAAAATTCTTTAATCTCCAGCTATGGGTTAATTAGTATCAATTGCGGCATTAATTCTTTATTATGCTAAAAAAAAAGGTTTTTATCATCTAAATATTTTTCTGGCTTTAAATAACCTGAAAAGGTTGATAAGTCGTAAAAAACAAAAAAAAACAAAAAAACAAACAAACAACTCAACCAATTTAGGAAATTGGCACAGCAGAGCTCAATACAGTTGTCATAGGTTGAAGGCAAAAATACAAACTTAGTCTTCTGTTTGGTTTTTAACAAAGCCAACACCGTATACCATTAGGAGTAAGTTCCAATCGAACAGCTTCTTCCTACGAACCGCTACTTTGTGGAACCGACTCCCAAGAGTTTCCTTTTACGGTCACTACAATCTTAAACTCTTAAAGTCTAGGGTTAACCCCATATCCTCATAAAATGTGCTTTTTACCTCTTACTCTTACCGTTCGAGACAACAAATTCTTTCCGTAACCCTCTGTCTTGAGTGGCCTTTGGTCTTTGCAAAATGTTTGAAAATTATTGAGAAAAATAGATCCTTCTCAGTGATACTATTTTTATATCTTAATATGTAGAACTGTTAAAAAGAAAAGACAGAAAAAACCATTATGCACAAATGCAGGAAAACAGATTTTACAGACGGAACGTATTTTATCTATCTATCTATCTATCATAGTTCCTATCTATCTATCTATCTATCTTTCTATCTATTATCCATTACACCACCAGCTTACAGCACCTTGTATTTCCAAGTGGTCACCCATTTAGGTACTGACCAGGCTCGATGTTGCTTAACTGCAATGATCGTATGGGAACCAGTATTACAACATGATGTCACCGTAAGCTATATTTAGAAAAGAATGGGGGAGGCCATGTCACTTTGGTGAGAAAGTGACTGAAGACGAGATGCCAAGTCAGGATTGATTACAGATCCTTCTTTTAAATTTGTCCATATATATATATATATATATATATATATATATATATATATATATATATATATATATATATATATATATTAGGAGCACAAGACATGGCAGCAGCATTTACTGCAATACCGGATTTACCGAGTAAATATTGTACTAAATTATTTATTGTCTAGCATTTGATAAAGTACGCAACAAAGAAATGTTGCATCTGTTAGTTAAGCTTGCTTTATTTGGGAAGAACATTAAAATAATCCAGAATCTAAACTGGGGCAAACTGTCTGTATACAGAGAGAAAATGAATTCAGTATACATAAACAGAAACTGTCCTGGGTATGACGATAAGCTACATCCGCGTCCTGGTTATGACGATAAATTAAATCCGCGTCCTGGGTAAGACGATAAACTACATCCAACAGCAAGGCATCTGATCAAGAGGTTTTCAGGAGCGTGGAACCAGCTCTTAATTGCTGGTGTTCCCAGGCCCACCATGACCCGGGGTGGTAGCACCTGTTAGGGTCCCAACTATGAGAAAATAGTCAAGCCCCCAAACTGGGGTCAGAATACTATGAAAGTGTAAAATAGTTTTTAATAACAGCAATAAACTTTTTGAGGAAAAATTATTAGCAGCAATACATTATTACCAGCTATACAATATTGAAAAAAAAAAATAAAGAAAAAAAAAAAGAATACCGGCTATGCATTTTTGAAAAAAAAAAATTACCAGCGGCACAATTTTAAAGGAAAAATTATTACCAGCAATACATTTTTGAAGGAAAAAATATTACCAGCAATATATTTTTGAAGGAAAATATTACCAGCAATAAAAATTGTCGACATTAAATAACCCATTGTGGTTTATATACCGTAAAACAAATCAAACTAAACCAAAACAAACCAAAACAAACAAAAACAGAAAAGTGTATAAGACAAGGATGCATCTTCTCATCGGACTTATTCAATCTTTACAGCGAGGTGAATCTCAGAGAATTAGAATTCCTATTAGGGTTCATTATTGGCGGCCACAGTCATAACAACATTAGATGTGCAGATGGCACTGTGTTGATAGCAGACATAGAAAGGAAGATACAGAAACTTCTACAGACGGTAGGAAGGAAAGCGAGATTAAAGAACAAAACATCAATTGTAAGAAGACAGAATGGTTATCGCCAAAAAGAAAAGCCCAACAGGCGAATTACAAATTGGGGGTGCCAATATCAAGCAAGTAAAAAAAAAAAAAAAACTGAAATATCTTGGAAGTGTTTGAATAGAGGATAGAAAATGCGACACTGAAATCCGAAGAGACGCTGAGATAGCTGAATATACCTTCCAAAAGATAAGCAAATTATGAAACTAGAAAAAATCGTTTGAAACAAAAAAAAAAAAAAGGTAGTAGCCTGTTATATCGGTCCTCCTATATAGCAGTGAATGTTGGACAATCACCTCAAAGACGGAGAAGAGACTTGAGGCAACAGAAATGTGGAACTACAGAAGGATGCTGAGAATGCCGTAGACTGAACATGCGAGCTATGACGAAATTTTACAGAAAATGAAAACGAAAAGAGCACTTATACTTGACATCAGAAAGAAGCAGTTAAAATTTCTAAGGCACATGATGAAGAAAGAAGGCTTGGAAATTTTGACACTGACAAGTAAGAAGGACAGAGGAAAGCAGCGAATATCGCGAGCTTGCGTAAAGGTTTGGCAGAATATGGATTAGGAGAGATAGAGAAAAGACAAAATTTGATAAGAGTTATAAAGAACTGGAAATTGTGGAGAGTCATGATCGTTCACGAAGGGACATGTTACATAGCAGAAGATTGTATTAGTATCGTGTTTATATACCAGCCTATTAAAAAAACTTTCCTGTACAGATTTCTTTATTCGTACATGGTTATAGGAATGCGTCTGTATTAACTTATTTATTATATTACGAGTACATTTGAAAGAACCATTTTTTAACCATGCCGGCATTTAAGCCTGCAAACCAGTTCTATTTATAGAGAAATGGCTGATAGGACTTGATGTAAATAGATTACAATACTTTCAAATGATTTCAGAATTAGTCTTCCTCATTACTGAGAATATATCTTGCGTAAAAAACCAGGAACATTGCTTTTTTTTAAGCAATTGCATTCACGTAAGATATGTAAATTGTCAAC